TTCTTTGACAAAGAATTACCTTCACAAGTTGCACCGTTATGACAATCACACCTTTAGTAGATCCTATGCTTTGAGGTAACATAGATGATATTCATACTCAGATCAGCACTATGTCCATCGACATTCCTTTCCCACTTCTAACTGGGTTTCATAAACACTGTAGGCATCTGGCCCTTTTATGAATCTTTCATCATGTGTTCATTTGGACAATTGCGCTAATTACTATAACATTTCAGAAAAAGGCATTCTTAACCACTTGATCGATAGAAAAGGCGACTAGGTAGGAATAGTCTTTTCTAGCAAAGTGAGGGCACGGTACACGCTTTAAGTGCTAACCTAAAATAACTGCTTTATTATTAGGATACAATAAAGTTTGAGCAATAATGTTGGAGCTAGTAGTTCGAATATTCCACTCAATTGCATTTTGATCTGAACAAAAACAAGGAAACTGCAATCATATTTTATGGCTAGAACATTGCTCGATCATGCGATTTCCTGCTTGTTTGACATTACCCAAGTATCATTTCTGTCGTAATTAAATCACAAGCAGTTTTAAATATAAAGTGCTCGTTGTTTGGCAATCCTGAAAATCCAAACATGAATTGTTGAATAATGCTACGGAAATAGAATTATTATGCTCCATGCACACCGTAGTCGTTTTTGGTAGAAAAGATTAATTGCGCTGCCTTGCTCTGGATGCCGACAATCGGCCATACGGTATGACAGAGGGGTTGAAATTAATAGTGACGCCCGATTTGGATTACTGGATACGCACTAATCTGATCCTTTGTACCTTTTGAGAGCATCCGAATCAGTCGCGATATTCCCCACAATATGGGGATTGATTTACTTCCCCGCTTGTTTTGATCACGTTATCTGTAAAAGTGAATTTTGTCGTCGGTGCAATAATCATATAGTATCGTCAGGCAAAACCTTTTAGTTGTTCTGGTATGTTTATGTTTTTAAGAAATGACTTATTCAATGCAAAACAATGGAACGAAGGTGATAATCTTCTGAAAATATGACAATCATAAGAATGTCAATTAACAACTAGTGAATGACACGTCTCATTTACGGTGAAGTTACCATGCCAAAACAATTACATAGGGTTTTTGAGTTTTGATTTAAATCTGTGACTTCGATACGTTGTGTTTTGTAACCTTGGAGAACGCTACGAACAAGGATTTGGAACTCTTTTGTTCGGGTACAATGCATTTATTAGGTTCACTTGTTTTATTCTAGCGGGGTTGCCCAAGAGAGACGCTCTCTGGTGCATTACTAATCAGTGAAGGTAGAAAACGCTCAAGCTTGAAGAATTCTTTGGCGCTAATACATTGTGCACGTTTGACAAACTAAGTGTAAGATATACTCATTTCGCAACACTTCAATGATGATGAGTAAGCTCCAAGACATACGAGGTCAAAATGTCGATCTGTCCAATAATCCTCAGTGTTCTGGTCACGTCGGGAGCAACCAACAGCGGACTACACGGAGCACTTAAAACTGCTGTCAGTACCACCAGTAATGACCATGTGAACATAAGATATACTATTTACGCAGGCCGTTTCAGCTACTCCTCGTTCCCCTGCGTTTGTGATGCACACAACATCGGGTTCACTGCTATTTGGTTATCTCTCCGCAAGTTAAAGCAACATCAGCACTGACTTTGTCAAGTTGGTTCACATCAAATTAAATTACTTCCATACATTTGGTGCACAACAGATATTGAGGTAATACAAGCGACGAACTTGATTCAGCTTATTGAGTACGCCTAAGTCGATCGCTCATTATCCGCAACTCAAGCCATTTGAATAGAAACATTTGACCAGTGAATTATAACCATAACCGGATAATCCAGTCACATGATTACCTCCCCCCCCCCCCCCGAGATTGTGATTATGAAAGCAGCCTTCTTCCTGCGGACATTCACACAAAACACCAGTTGGTCAGAAATCAATTACATGGCGAACGTGAAGACTGGTATTTCTGGCAGCAGTGAACATACGAAGTGATTTACACACTTTGTTTGAACATGATAGGTTTATCCCCCTCCGGTTGACCGCCGAAGCTGCCCTTCCTTACATGAATTCCAAAGCAACTCATGAAAAATACTGAACAGCATTCGACTGTCAGAGGTTTTCTTCTGAACGTTGTAGTATAGCTAATGATTTAGTTCACAGACCTTTTTATTTTGATGGGATCATCCCGGCAGCAAAATACAGTTTAACGGCCATACAGTTAAACTGGTGTTACGAAATCATCAAATACTAGTTTAAACAAATACTTGAGTTAGGACGAGATCGTTGAGGTTTGCAGGGTCCGAGCCCATGCGCGGAGAACACTTGCACTTTTGTATGGTTAATGGTTTTCCAATTGTCGAGGCTAACAAATCTGAATAACTGTTTTAATTAATAGGTCGTTATTGTATCAAAATGTTGTAACAATTCTTGCGGGTCTTTCAACTAATGAAACTAGCATTAATTTAAGTCCGAATTTTTAAACGCTGCGCGGCTTTGCTGGAATTGAAACTGCATGCGTGGACGCCGCCCATGGATTTTATATAGCACACTCTGTACCAGTTGAATCAAAGGGTCCACAATGATATCACTGATATTTTGTCATTTGGATTTGCCATGTAAATTACTTATGCCCACCGAATCCACCATTATTTTCCGATACAAGGACTGACAAACAAATCACATTTATGATGTGCTGATTTTTCTTCTTTCGCTCGAGATGGACTGCCAGTTCAAACTAATATTGTTCAGTTTCTAACTAGCGTATAGCAATCATGAATTGCAGTATGAGACTTTCTCATTTGATTTTTGACGATCGAGGCAAAAGAGGTTTAGTGCACGACACCAAACCTAGTAGCAACATTCGAAATTACTTCCACATCTTGTGTGGTACTAGCAAACTTGAATTCATTAGAGAACGAAATGAAATTCTCACAACCTAAAGGTAAAACACACCAGATTAGGGCATTCAGGAAACACAGAGAAGATACTGAATGCACCATTTTGGTTTATAGATTTCATTTATTGTACACGCACTTTTGTCCCAATAATGCACCGAATTGAAACATTGAAAATGCAGTGGTTCTAGCTCTGTTATGATTAATCAGAGAAAAAATCATCCTCAAAGTATATGGGAGGAAATTAGGGCTTCTATCACCAGAGACCGGATTTGGTTTAGAACATAGACTCACGTGGATCGAATCAGGTTCTAGAATGATTTACCGTATTTAGTAGAAACAAGTGACTCCGGTCTTATTTTCACTAAATTATCTGCAATACGTACATATGGCAGGGATTTTGAAATACTCAATGACAGCCATAAGCGAACATAAACCTTCCACCAATATATCATTCTTTATCAGCGTACGTATACGAGTTAAACGGGAAGAATTTGTAGCAACCAGTTATCACGTTGCATCATAATTAGGAAAGCGAAATGCGACGTGTGTTGTACCCCAGCTGATCGACAGCAATAAAACATGTTTCACTTACTTTCAACATAAAGATGAGCGTGTACCCGCACAGCTTGCACTCCAGCAACTACGGCACATTCGTATTTCCCGGCATGTTCAAACGAGACCGGATGAATGATGAGTTTGCCGCTGGGCTGAACATTAAGTCCATGAACACCATGTTTTTCTCTTTGATACCGAGGGTTTTTTTTCGTTTGTGGGGGGCGGGGTGGTATGAAGGAAGATATTAGAAACAACATCTTTGTCAAATTTTCGTTTATTGCATAAAGCATAAATAGGTAACATTTTATTGGTAATACTTCAGGGAAAAACAGAATATCGCATTGGTTTATCAATACATGCGCCACTGTACTGTAATCAGAGGGTTTATTAACTCTCACTAAATATTCTTGAATGTGAATTGAGTTATTTTTGATCATCCCGAGTAAATCTTTCTATTTCTATTTTTACTTCTACTACTTTTACTACTTTTAGGGAAATTGATCCTTTTATTTACAACTTACCACATATTCAGGCTGCACGCTAAAAGTTATTTGATAGGCATAGAATAATGTCTTATCTGGTAAATTTTTCTGGTGACAAACTATTAACTTCTACTTGTGTGAATAGCAGAACCACGGAACCCAAAGGTCTGCGTGAACTGGAATATCGGTCTAAAAGCACTCCAAATATAGCTTCTGCTGACAGTGAACGAATACCGTCTTCGAAGGAAATCTTCAAATATAATGCAGTCCGATTGATGACGTGAACGTGACTGACGGAACACGCATGCTAATAGTAACTGTTCGGTAGTCAAACGAACTAGGGATCAAGCAAGTTTGAAAGCCAAATCTTATCAACCCTGACAAGGTGGTGTTAATGTCGCATTGCGAGAAACATCAGAACCAACATGACTGATGCTTTCTGACAAGACCCGAAAAACTGAAGAAAAAACTGATTTACAGTTTGACTTGTAGGATTGAAGAGGTAGGCTTTGCACAAGGGCTACATTTTTTGCTCTTCTGAACTGGACACAAAAGACAAACATTGACCAGCGTCGTGCTAGAAATGCCATAATCTCACACAAAAGACACGTGTGTGCACACGAGAAAAAACGCAGTTCCAAGCATTCATGTATTCAAGTTGCTTATATTCGGCAGTCTATTGGCTTGTCCTTTTCCATACACTGGAACAAAGTCGAAAACAATTGCAATTATTCTGTCTATGGCCTACGGATCAATTGAAATTAACCTTGACTGGTTCTCCGGTGACGACTGTTGACTGGATGAAAACGTTATGTTCATAAGGACTGAACATTTTTCGATAGAAATAAACAATAATTTGGGATCCTATTTCCAAGCAGCTTTTATTTATATAAAGCCTGTAAACCAAATCTTATTCTTTATGATGCATACGCTTGTAATACAAGTGGAAATCGGTTAGTGTATTTGGAAATGTAAACCATTCCGCTTTTTGTTTGTATGGTGGTATGAGTATGTAAACTCCATCGGTCATGAAATCATAAATTATTTTAAGTACCCATAACTTTCCTTCGACGCCTACTGGACACTTGAGTTTCTCGCGGTTGGATACTGTATTCCTTCGGTAGACGCCATTCCATATCATAGCGATTCGGCATTGGTATGCCACTTTGCCTGCTAATTGCCTAAAGGCCTATGTGATGGATTTTAATAACGTCGCGAACTCAAGTTATCCCGCGCAATTATGATGTTTTGGGTCCAACTTTAGGCTGAAAAAACAAATTAGTTGGGTTTAAGCACTTTGATGACTAACTATTTTTAAAGTTAAACGATAAGCATAAGTGGAATAAACACATTGATGTGTTCCATTTCGCCTGTTCGCCGAGCTTGGCAATTTGTTTGCAAACGTTTCATGACCAGCCGAGGTGACATCATCAGTGCTTGTGATGTGTAATACATATTGGTCCATGCCAAACGTAGGAGTTTTGTTTCCAAGAATCTCCGAACAGTAGGTATCAAATCTGAATTTATTTTGATAAGCGATAGAATCTAAAATTTGTTGGTGACTAGGTAAGCATAGGCATAAATGAGCTGTGTTCAGCGTTCCGTAACACATGCTGACATGTGTGGAAATCTTCTGTTTTGAATGGAATTATTTTGCAAAGTCACCTGCGTTTTCAATAATTTATGATTTAGGCAAAGCATACATTTATGTTCGTCAAAAACCTTGCACGATGTTGGTTTAGACAGCCGTGGTGAAAAGGAGGACCAGATAAACGTGTCTTTGTGTTACGAAACTGAAATGGGAGAACAATATTCCAGGGTTTTTTAACAAATTATTCATCCTTTTGATGTAATTATTTGGTTTGCAGTATTGATTTTAGTTATCTGTGACCTCTTTAGCCATTCCACACGGTTGTTATAAATTTAAGAAACGTCCAGAACTTTATGACTACATAATACATGTTTGTTTCAAAACAACATTACTAGTCAGCTTTGAACTGTTAAAATTATATGGTGAATTTCATCGGACACGCCTACTGCCCGCTGTGTATCATCTATCAAGTAGCTTGGCAACATATCCGACATTTGTTCCAACTGAACTAAGTGAATTAATCATTCACAGTTATCTCTTTGGTAGAATTTTCCGTTGATGACGGTGATCAGTCAAGCCGAGCGTAACTTTGAACTATGGGAAACAAATGGCTGGGTGGAGGAGCTGTGATCTATGAATTATTTTACATTTCCTAATTTCAGTTTAGTTTTCATACGTCACATAGGAATTAGTCGAACTGTTATGACTCATAATCGGACGTTTTTGTGAGTTTTGTTTGCAAAAATGCATCATTCCAAAGGGATGCACACTTTTCGGACATATTGTAGGAACGTTTTAAAAATTGTAGGGGTCATTGATTTGTTTAGAACCTAAACAATTAGTGTCATCCAACTGAGAGTTTTCCGTATTTCAGCTCAAAAGGAACATAATTGACAGATAATCCTTCACAAGAAACTCTTCACAAAATGCAAGTGACCAGTAATCGCGTTCTACCGAGTGCATCAATTTATTCATTTATTTGTTTAGTTTGAACTACAACCCTCAATACTGGTATTTGAAACAACAGCAAGGCTACCACATACGGTACCAGCGGGGTTGGTCAGTTGGATCCGAAACCGCTTTCCTGGAATATTATTCCTGATTATCCAGTTGATAGATTCATTTTTCAAATACATGATGAAAATTAACCACGTCTTTCTGTAAAATAGTTGGAAGCCACAGGACATTTAACGGCAAAAGTCAGTAGCAACCAATTTTTCGAAATAATGATATTGATAACCACCTAATCATAGGGTTTTGCAAGAAATATTTTCAGAAAACTTCATGTGCATATTATACGGTTGCTTGGATTCGATCAGCTGACAGAAGTCCCTAATGGAACCTAAATTTAAAAGACAATGCAAATTGAATTACTTTGTCTGTCAGCCGTTATATAGGCCAGTTGAAAAGCATTCAGTCGGTGTGCGAGATGACATACCACAAGGATTGAACTGTCGAAGAAACTGTGATTATCAATCCTGCCCGAAGGCAACGACTGAGCATCGCGAATGATCAGACCGTCGTCCCCGGGGATCTGGTTCACTGCAAGACGCTTCTTCCGATTTTCTGTATATGTGGAACGCAATGATTTCTGTTTTAATCTAATCGAACCAATGGTGTGATAGTGGTGAATGAATTCTGAGCAAATTGCAGCCTAGTGACAAGATCCAGCTTTCAAACGTGCCGTTACCGGATACTGCAGGTGAGGATGCCATAGGTCATATTTGTCTTAAGCTCACAAGTAACACACTAACAATAAATATTTTAGATTTACTTTATAACGCAGCTACTTGTTGGTAGTATCTCTTAAACACTCCCCTAAATAGATTGGTATCCCTAGAGATAAGCCTGCAGATTCTATGATCAAAATACCCCAACAGTTATGAGAAAATGTTATTGTCCAAATAAACTCAAACACCCACCAGCCATCACAAACGAAATTTCAAAAGCTGTATTGACATCAACTACACGATTAAGGTTCAAACTTTTATTTGCACCTAAATCTTTTTATCCTACTTCTGCTATGCTATATTTTTTAGTTCAGTGTTGCTATCTAAGATTTTTCTAAATTTGCATTTACAGAGATGATGTAAACTGCTGAAAATTCATCCATCCAGGCGCATAAACCTACTGCTGACTTCACTTGGTGGTATAAAAGAAGATTTTTCGTTGGTGCTGCACAGATAGATCCGCATATCAACGTGGGCAGGAAATCCGACAAAATGTGCCAGTCAGTGTGTTGTTGTTTATATACTTATCAGTTCATCCCCCCTTAGGTTTTAATAGAAACTTCAGTGTAAATTTTCGGTGGCTTGCGAATTAGTGGACGCCTCTGATCCTTTGTGTTAAAAAAACGGTATTCCACAGTAGAATCATCATTCCGCTGTTTGTGTTGTACTCCGGATCTCATGTTATCTGCTCGATTGTAAACCTGTCTCGGCTGATCTATAGAAAAAGGTTCTCAATTGGTGTAGAACGTCAGAAACTGCTGTAATTGACTGCATTTAGTCACAGCAAAAGCAAAACTGCGATCAAAACTGCCTGTGCTGTGACAGTGTGATTCAGTTATTTGGAAAGAGATAAGAAGTATTCAAAGTAAACTATTGATTCATCATTGGCAAAGGTAAATTGTTCGAATCTGTAAAAGTATAACTCCACGTGGAATAGGAGTCAGTTAGTGAAGCAACTGAAATAGGGAAAAACCTGACTGCGACTGGTTTGGTTTAGCTATGAAGGATACACCTGTTTGATGACGAGGCGCGGTTAATTGTTAATCAGTCTGAATTGAGCAATATACCACGTGTAATTTGAAAGTAGTCGATTCAGTACAGGAAGGTAAATTCGGAGTGAACGTAACTTACAATGGAAAATGAAGAAAATTTTGGATCGGGAAACATTTTGGATGGAACTGAGTAACTCTTGACCTAAAACTCTAACTGTGTCCGCTGCGATAAAGACATAGTTGCAATGGAAACGAAGAAAAGAAGAGGATTACGTGATTCACCGGTTGTCATAATGGTGCTTTGAACTCCGTTTTATATGCGTTTGGAGTGACCTACGATTTGTGACATAGCTCTCGTTCTGAGCCTTTTCAATATAGTTGAGAGAATATTCAAGCAGTTTCACAAGGAACTAAAACATCCATTAACAAATGTTCTCTTAGGTGTGGAATAATATGAATTACAGTCTTAACGCAGAATAGGAGCATACAAATCACACTTGATAGATATCAACAAACAGCGTTTCGTACATCGAACAAAATCAATTTTTCGTGTACTGAACCTTTGGTGCAAACTGAGTGGTAGAGAAACCAACATGGACAGTCGGCAGTGGCTAACAATGACGGAAGGTGAACATGACGTGGTCTAAAACACATATTCATGTATTTTGATTCAATGAGAAAAGGTATTAGGGGGTTGAGACTCATACGATATAGTTAATCTATAAACGGTTTGCAAAATGTGGACCTGAGCACGGATCAATGCGAAATACTGAACTTTCCTCGAATCAGTTCGATACCAAAAAGTAATATCGAATAAGGAGGCGATATCTTTTTGCGAAACTCGATCGAGTTATCTGTGAAAGTCAGGAGGCACGCGAGAAATCAGTTACAAGAATCGTCATGTATCAAATATAAGGGAGCTGTAGTTTATCAACTCAGAACATTATTAACCTCATTTCATTATCTCCCTTCCTTAAAAGTACTTAGTATAATAGACCATGAGATTCTTGACAAAGTGTTAATGGCGGGAGCCATGCGTTTAACACTAATACCCAACCGGTATATTAGTTTCGGGTTTTCCCTAGATGCTTGCTATCCAAGGATTATAAGGGTTAACCGATTCAGTCCATAATTTTGTTGTGTTGATGATACAAGACAGTAAATTTGTGTGAGATTTGACATGTAAAGCTAAATAAATCCTATAGAGATAAGCAGGCGCTGTTTGTCTATACTTTGCTTTCACAGAAGGGAGTAAACTGGAATGAAAACCACACCACCGAAAAACTTCACCATCAGCTTTGTGTCACGTTATCCTCGGATCCGAATTTTCCACCTGAACTAAATTTTGAGGTTAGAATGACCAATGAGGTATTGCGCAAATTAGACCACTGTAAAAGCTAAATAATCTTGAAATGAAATGAAAAATAAAAAAAGTAGAGCAGGCTACTCACCTTTGTGGACGCTCAGGAAACTGTTGGAAAAACCGTATTTACTTAAACTATGAAAATACAGTTCTTCCTCGACAAAAAGACCATTTTATTGAAAATATACTTCACGAGATCAATTTCCTTGGGATCTCTTTCTGGTATGTGTACACCAAATAACCGTAAATTTATATTTCACTTGTTTTGATTTAGTTTCCCCTAGAACATTTCTCCTTTATATGGATCATTCATCTACCTTGGTCGGTGGTAATGTGGAATTTCTTGTGGTGGTCCCAATGATAGTCAAATTTACGCATAGTGAAAATCGCATTTTTCTTGTTTACACAGCGACTTACTTGCACAAAATATTTGGCTGACAGACAGCTAACTCTAACGGTTCCGGCAGAGCTGTTGCACCTGCACGAGATTCATATCCATTTCGAATAGGTTCCTCGTGGTGTTCCATAGTGTGAGGCTGGAAATACCAAATCACATATTTCACGCTGGCCCGTGGTATGCACTCTAGTTGAACTCTTTCTCCAATCTGCACACTCTGATTGCGTGGTACTTGGTAGAAGTGGACATCTTTTTCTTGGCTAATCTGTTCCACCAGGTGTACTTTAATGACTTTAGGCAAACAGTAAAGAAAAGCAACATTGAAATCGATGTTATCAACGTCAAACGTATGTATGGGCATAGACAGACAATCCAAATATGTGTCACAGCTTCAACATGAATCCAATTAAAAGTTGTTACAGTTTATAACAAGGTGGTTGGAGAAATCGGCTGAAAGATCACTCCGTAAGTGACCTAGTTTTGTTCACACATGCGACAACCAGTACACCAACTTTACCCGTTTAATTAAAACGTTCGAGGGAGGCTTCGTTGTATGCAGATTGTCATCAATCATTCACCTGTTGAAGATGGCTTTCTCGTTGAAAACATATGAACGAAATTAATTATTTGTGTTTAATTCATTAGCTAAGCTTTGTGATCGGAATTTTATCGAAGATCGTTAACAGTTATCTCTCTTTTTTCATGCCGCGATGTTTCATTTAACTTCTGGAATCCGCTCGAAATTAGACCCATTTCATTCCGTAGTTTCTGGTCTATAGGCTTTTACTAACCTTTCTATATGGGATGAATAAAGATGAAATCAATTCTGTCCAGAGCTCAGGATTTTGATTCTGATCTCATTGCAATCTATCAAAACAAACGTGCATGAAATCCAGCTCTTAACGATTTTCTGATAAATGAACAGTACAAATCCGCTCTTTTGACTAGTATTCGCTACTAAGTAAAAAATCGTACTTTCATAAGATAAGAGAAAGTTTGTCAACCATACGGCTAACTGATACGAAATGAATCGATAATAATAAAGGGTATCGCAATCTTATTGCCCCAAGGAGTGTCCATGAAACTACTCACAACATGTTTTATTTGCATCCCCGGTCTACATTAGGTAGATTGCAATGCCTATAATTTGATCAAATTTTCTAGTGCTCTGTTCAGCAGTGAGTAAAGCCTGAGGTTGAATAGCTGTAGAGCATATTTGGATCTATTGAAAGGATTGGAACACACTGGTATACATCTATGCACATATAAACAACATATTTGAACTGAACATTTCTAATTCTATGAGATGCATTTTAAGATATTGTAATTTCGTTTTGCACACAATGTCGGATACATAATCTTTAAACTGTTTTGATGCGCATTTAAATAAACTTAAACAGCTGACATACTTTCAATGGATGTTCAAAATAGTTGTAGTAGCCAAAGATGTATATTTTATTTTATCCTTTTGCCTGGCTCCTTGAATACTGTCCAGAAACAGTGGTTTTACCAAAGTTTTGTGATCAGAAAGTTCAGTACTAATGAGTAGCTTTGTGTTCATTATTGAAATATACTCGTAATCAAGACAAGATACACTTAACTTGGGATTTCTCTGAATATACTTCACCATTTCGGGAATAAAGGCTGAAAAAGTTCCTTTTAAAATTTCTCTTCATACTCCAGAAACTGCATTCAAAACGAGGTTGGCTTCCACTAATGATAAATGCATTCATATTCTCCCAGCCCGCTTTGGTATGATGACACCAATACACTTTTACAATGCAGACATTTTCATAATTCACACAGTCATAATATGCTGTCTAGAAACACCGATATTTCCCCTTGGGTTAGTATAAATAGAGAATATGGGTAAGTAGTGGGTAATAGCTGTTATATGACCAGAAGATGATCATATAGGGAGTATGTACTAGAAACATCTCAAATGGGCAACCCATGGAACTTTTCGCATTCCGTGTAGTCTGCAAAAGCACTACATTGCGGATTACAAGTGCAATCAAATGTGAAAAAGACCGCTTAGTTATCAGGATTCAGCACTGGACTATAATATTTCCGAAAGGTAAATATATAGGACAAAACTGCGTATTTCACATGACATTCACCTGAACTTTATGCAATTGTGCTAGCTGGAAATAAAGTCATTGCTCGAGAGTTGGTTTCATAGATTTTATAAAATATGTTGTCTTCGTTTCACGACACCCTTACGTCATTATTGCGATGGAAGCTTTTGCGAAAATACTGTGCTTCATTCGGGATCTCCATAGACGGCGAGAAATCGAAATAACTTGGTAAACATAACGCGTCATCATACCGTAAGACTTGAGGTGTAATGTGATCTACGTTCTTCATTGATATGGAGTGAATGTTTCTTGGTAATGCGGTAAACAGGCATCACATTGCTTTTATATATTTTAAATTGTTCTGCAAAATGTTGGTGCATCTTGGTGTTCTTGGTTTTTTCATTTTTTATGTCAGTGATGTGTAAGATATTGTCAGGTAAATGAACCACCGACTAACGAGTGGAGAAAGACATTACATCGTGGTGAAGAATACACCGAATAACTGATGAATCTGGATAATCATTTATTTTATTTCGGATAGAAAACTGCTGATAAATAGTCTCTAGTATGAAATCTAGCAAATAATTGTACTTTGCTTAATTATGTTTCGATGTTACAAACAATGGAAACAGTTTGATACTTAGCGCTTAAAGCAGACAGATGACTTCACACCTAGTAACATTAGGGCCAGCATCGTTTCGGTTCTTATTAAAGATAATTACGTGAGCCGACAAAAATAATGCGAGTTCTACTGAAATTTTTACTCATGAACTACTTAATTTAAGATTCTGTGAACGGGATATATTTGAGTTTAATTACAAGTCTTCTGGACCGATCGTTCAAAGCGAGAGGTTTGCTATGCTCACCACAAGCATTCTGAGATAAATATATATGACAGCTTTAGTATTTACGTCCTCGCATGTTATTAGAAATGGAGTATCAAATCACACGCGAAAATGGTTGACCCCTGAAGTGGAAACAGTATGGCCGCGAATAGAAAGTCCCGCTTCGTAGTAATTTCCAAAATCTAAGAAAAAAGGACTACAAGATCTTTTCGCAAAGCTTCTGCAGATTTACCTAAAACAAAGAAATCCTCTTATAGCTGTAAATTTGATATTTAAAACAAAACAGTTTTGAATGTGACCAGTTTATTAAAACAAAGTATGATTTTTTTCTAATAATCACGGATTCATCACCCAGTTCACGGACGGGTCAATATAATCTATGTAAGAAACGTTGCGTCGAAAAAGGGTTCTAACACCATTCAATCGGAGACAAAAATGAATGTCAATCTGTTTCTACTTTGATTGGGTTTGATCAATACTTTTATGCCATTTTTTTGGGAAACCAGATAATATTTTTACCACTAAAGAATGATGCTGCCTAGCATTTTGTTTTTCTAACGAAGTTGACGTGAGTTATACTACATGAACTTTGTGAAACAGGATTAGTCGGATTCAAACGCGTTTTAATATGCAAATAAGCAATTGTCTGTAGCTTTTAATTATTTTGAAAACTCGATTTTTGTTTTTGTACCCTGCCTATATATAACAAACAAAACAATTTCTTCCTTTACTCTCAAGAGTACTTGCATAAAAAATCATAAGACGCGCTCTCAGCACAAACATTTGAATCGGAACTTCACTTTTTCTCTTTAAATGCATTTGGATTTTGTTCAAATATTTCAGTTATCACTGTGGCCCAAATTCTGCTACAAAAAAAACAAGCGACATTTGCATAAGATCATTTTGCTTTAATCCATCACGGTGCTCAGTGATGTAGAACTCACTGGTTTCGCAGAACTCCGCCAATGAAAACACACAGAACTGGAGTATTTTTATTTCACACTGTTATTCGATAACTTTGTTTGCGGGGTGGGGTGTAGTAATTGTCAGTTGGGATCAAACCACTCTACTATCAATAGCGGTTGTTCGTTTTTTGCAGTTATTTTTGTATGCAGTGCAGAATGGTGGAGTGTACATCGCATTGTTTGACGTGTTCTGCTACCTCCATGGAATTGATTTTCAATGATAAAATTCAAAAAATTGCATTTCTGTGTGATGAACACGGCCATTGGGGAGAGTGAAAACCATATAGTTGGTTCCAATTTTACCAAAGGTTGAACCGGTATGCACCTCATTGAAATGTGAATCTGGTAGTTGCCAGAGTATTAAATTACACAGAAAATGTTTTGCAAAAGTTTGAATTTATTAAAATGCAGGACACTGGTAAAGAAAACATTTGGTAATCACTGTAATCTATTGCGTAGAAAATTACTGATAGGTTCAAACAAATATATGCAAACATTTCAGTGTTTATCCATTTCTTTTAACCCAAATAACGATGACTGACCATCAGTAAATTGGAAATATTGGGATGTCTTTGCTCAAACGTTACCTCATTGAACGACTATACTCATCATATTTGATAGCATTGTCACTATCCATTAGATAAAATGTTTTGCTCTTTTAAAAATAATGATGGAGTATTCACAATTATATCCCCTTTCTGAAGAACTGACCGATTGATGTGAGAAAACTTCGTATTCATACACAATTTAATCGGGCTGTTGTTTTACTTTCAAACTGAATACGGTAACATCACTAAATAAATCATAAAATTTAATCACAGTTTGAATACAGAGATGTTTTGATGCGATCTTCAAGTTGAAACGGTTGCGTTAAACACAAATAACACGAAGCTTCCCGGTGCAGTAATGGTTAACAACATACACGTGACTCGGCTCGGCTAGATCACAACTAACAAAGATAAAATAAAAGATTGATCAAACGGAAGTCCCACATGGTTGCATCATAGTCAAAGATGATATGGATGAAGAAAATGATGTTGTTACAACACAAAACAGGTTTCTTCAATTCGTCCTTTAACAGAGCTGTTCGCGTTTAAGGCCATGCGCCACAACAGAAAAGAAAACACGTGAGCACTATGCTGATTGTGCCCAGGATACATGAGCAGAAGACGACTGAAACATATGATTGCATCGTTTTTATTAAATAGAAAGATCTTCAATGAAGTCATATAAGTCCACGCG